TTTTTCTTTTCAAAAAAAAAAAGAAAAAAAAAAAACAAAAGAAAAGGTCATGAAAGAGGCAATCTCTTCATGCTTTTGGCTTGTGTGACAATTATTTGGCTCTCATTCACCTTTCCTTATAAGCAATTGGCTGAAGTTACCTTTAGCAATGATGAATCCATGTGCAAAATAATTTTAAATAATGAGTATAATTGTTTGAGGACATGATTTTATCTAATGGGGAAGTTTGGGAATTTATCTTTCAATATGTCAAAACCATGATTTGTTAATAATGCTCATATACTTTAGGTGTTGAAAGATTGGTCCTAAAGATATTATCTAACAGTTTGTTCACCTATTCTCACTAGAGCTCCTACAAAGAAGATGGTTGACGAAGCTAATTTGGAGAAAGGAACTCTTAAAAATTGGGTTGAAAACATAGAGAACACTTTGAAGGAATTGATGGCTTCTTTCCAATCTCTTCAAGTAACCTTAGTTGTAAGGCACCATTGACAACAAATCCATTGTTTGAAGGAAATGTTATTGTGGCAAATCTCCCTATTGCCATATCTCTTTTAACTCTTGGAAAAGAGACAATGTCATCTAACCCACCAAATCCGATTATTGGACCTTCTAGGACAAAACTACTTATTCTAAGTGCTGGTGTTGCTACAGTTCAATCTAATGAAAATGATCAAGTAAAGACTCAAGTTGTCAAGTTAATCACAGAAGATGAAGACGAGGCAATTAAAGCAAAGGTGCAGTTGATGGAGGAAACACTAAAATCAATGCAAGGTGTCCAAACCAAGAAACCGGTGGACATCTCATCTTTGTGCTTTTTCCCAAACATTCAATTACCACATAAGTTCAAATTGCCTGAATTTGATGATTACAATAGCGCTAGTCACCCTTATGCTCACTTGACAACGTATTGTAGGAAGATGACTCGTTATGCCAATGATGAGAAGCTAGTGATACATTACTTTCAAGAGAGTTTGGTAGGTTTGTAGATGCCTGGTTCTCGACTTTAGACAAAAGTAAGGTCAAGAGTTGGCATGATTTGACTCACAACTTCATGAAACAATATGAATATAATACATCATTAGCTCCTAGTAGAGAAGATCTCCAAAAGACAAAAAATTAAGTGAGAGTTTTAAGGAATTTGCCCAAAGATAGCGTGGATTAGCTACTCAAGTTCAACTGCCATTGTCTAGTCATGAATTGAGTAATTTATTCATTAAGTCAACCAAAGAGCCGTATTGTGAGAAGTTAATGACTTGTCTAAATTACACTTTTGCTCAGTTAGTTGTTGTGGGAGAACAGTCGGGGATGGAATCAAATCAAGTGTTATCTTAGATTCCCAAGCTATAAAGGATATTCTTGAGCAACATCAAAATGGTAAATTGTTGGAGTTGGATAATCCAACTCACATGAAAATAGTCAACCAAAGTGAGAAGGACGAAAAAGAGAATGACATAAAAATGGTGAATTATATTGCATATCAACTTGGAGAAGCAGTTCAAAATTAGGGAAGGGAGTATCAACATTTTGATCCCCTACCATTATCATATTCAGAAATATTCAATCAAATGGTAGCGCTTGGGGAATTGACTCCAATCCTTACAAACAAGCCTCCTAATCCTTTACCATTCTAGTGTGATCCACAAGCCAAATGTGATTATTATGGTGGGACCGTTGGTCATGATATAGAAAGGTGTCTAACTTTGAAGCAAAAGATTCAAGATTTAAAGATTCAAAATGCTTATAGTTTCACTCAGACAAGGTTGATCTTAAAACTACTAGTGATGAAGACTTGAATAAGTGAACAATGGAGTTTTTTTCCTATTACTATCATTTTGGAATAAAATGTGCCTATCATGTTAGTTTTTATTTTCATTTTCGAAACTCATTTCATATTGCAATTGGAATGTTCTTCATGTTTTAATTCATAATTTTATACTTCCATGAGTTGCATTGTTAATGAACTTGAATTCAATTTTGAACCCCATAGAGAACATTGAGGCTTGAGAAAAAGTAAAGGTTGAGAAATGAGGGAGGTGATTGAGGGAGAAATAATGGATGAGTAGGAATGAGAGAAATGTACAAAGAGAAATTGATCTCAAAATTTAAAACAAACATTCCTATGATAGAAAGCTTGAGAATTTTTATTTTTACCATTTGAAACCTTTTGGATGAAAACCTTGCCAAGATTCATCTTTAAGAATTCCCACAGATTATACAAAACAGAAAAAAAGGGCGGGGGGTAGGGGGGAAATGGTGGAATTTTGCTAACTTTGTTAGGTGATTTTTTGAAACTTCATTCCCTAAACCTTGAAAGATTATCTTTAGTTTAATGGCTTAATTTAAAAAATGGTAAATTAACTCTTTGCTTTTTATTTGTTTTGTCTATTAACTATTTTTTATACCTAAGTAGTCCATCAACTTTCAAATTTATATCAATTTGGTCTACCCTGTTAAAATCCCATCCGTGGAACTAACGAAAATCTACGTTGGCCTTATGTTGTGCCTACCTGGCACCATGTAAGCACCATGTCCCCAAACAAATTATGAAAATAATTAAGGGATAATATTTTTATATTGCTTTTTTATATAACCTTACATCTTATTTAAATAATTGACTTTTTTTATTTATTTGGAATATATGACATTGAGTATATCTATTTATTTATTGATATGTAGAAGTTGTATAAAAATTTTATACAAAAAATTATCCCTGTATTACTACCCAACAAATTAACATTATTGGTCATCTAGACTTTCAATTAAATAATATTTAAATTAAACTAATTAAATAAATTTAATTTTGAATTTGACAAAAAAAAAAAAAGACTAAAACCCAAAGGGATGTAAAGGGCGGTGCTATAGGGACAATCTTTTTATACCACCTTCTGATACAACTTCAACATGTTATTAAATAAGTTGATGCATTCAATATCACGGGTTCCACGTGAATTGAAAAAACCAATTGTTTAAATGACACGTGAGGTTGTACCAAAAAGTGATACAAAAAGATTGTTCCAAAATCATTTCCTAGATAGAAATGCCATTATCTTCTTCCTTACGCTTTCTCTCTCGTTCTTTGTTTTCCTTTCCCCCTTTTCTTCATTACATTTGAATGGCTAAGCGAAAATGGATTCCTTAACACTTTTGTAGCTCATCAATGGCACTCGGTTTCGTCTTCCCTTTCAAATTTGACCCAAAATAAGTACTCAAAGAACTTCCCAATTTTTTTACCATTTTCTAATCACTTCACTCAACCTTATCAGAAAACTTGTTAAAATTGCTAGAATTGCTTCTTTTTTGCTTCTCTTAACCAACCATCCCTCTAAAAAAGTTTGCTTCTTTTGCTAATCATCTTCCTCGACTTTTTCTCTTCACCATTCCTCCTGTTATGCTAGCATTGGTAATGGAGAGGTATTGTTTATCTTCTCCAATTTTCTTTTTATTAAAGTTAAAATTAAGAGATTAAAATGAATTATTAAGATTTTTTTTAGGCACAGAATGGGCAATTTTTCTTCATAAATATATAGGTTAAATTTAATAAATAACCTACTATCTACGAACATTTTATCTATTTTAATTACTAACTTTTTTTTTTTATAGAAAAGGGTATTTACGTTCTTTTGGGTTTTAGCATTTTTTTTCTCAAATTCAAAATAAAATTTATTTAAAAGAAAAATGTATATCAGTTTCAACTCTTAAAAATTAAAGTACTAACCTTATATTATATTGTTTTATTTTATTAAAATTTAATTTAAAATTTAAAAATTTATCTTATTAAATATAAATATTTAAATTTAAAAATTGATTGAATTTTAAAATTTTAAATTGAAATTTTAATTTTTAAATATAGGTTGAGATTCTAATTTATTTTGAGAGTAGAAATTGATACGTATTAATCTCTTTATTTAATTAGTTTAATTTAAATATAAATATTATTTAATTAAAAGTCTAGATGGCCAATAATGTTAATTTGTTTTAGGACATGGTGGTGCTTACGTGGTGCCAGGTAGGCACAATGCAAGGGCCAATGTAGATTTCCGTTAGTTCCACTAACGGGATTGTAACAAAGTAGACTAATTTGATATATTTTTAAAAGTCAATAGACTACTCAGGTATAAAAAATAGTTAATAGATAAAGTAGATAAAAGTATATAGTTAGTAGATCATTTCTTAAATTAAGCCTTAGTTGAACACTTTGAGCTTAATTTCAATGAACATTCTTTCATGACCAATTTAACGACCTAGGAATATTGTTGCATGCCAAATTGGGGGCAAATGTCACTTTTATTGGAGGATTTGGTAAAAACTATTTTGAAGGGAGAAAGAAACTAAAAGAAAGTGGAAGCTAAAAAAAAAAAAAAAAGGGAGGAAAATGAGGATAAAGCAGATAATAAAGGAGAAGAAAGTTTTTTAAAACAAATTGGAGAAGAAATCTCTAAGACATGGCATGCAACTAGGGGCAAGTAGGATACTTCAAGTCTATATTGACTATTCTTTCAGTAGCCATACCTAAGCCCTATAACAATCCATAAAAGTCCTATTTGAGGGTTGGATATTTGTAGACATTTTGATCAATCACCAAATTAAGGATAGCAAATCATATTCAAGATCATTGTCAAAGAAGAAGAGATGAAGTTTGCATATCAAAAAAAGAAAAAAAAAAGAAAAAAAAAAAGAAAAAGAAAAAGACAAAAAAAAGAAAAGACGAAGTTTGCATCCCAAATGAAGATTGCATCTTAGGAAGAAGAAGAGATGAAGACCGCATCTTAAAAGTCACATCTCAAATAAAGATTGCATCTCAAGAAGAAGAAGAAGAAGAGCTGAAGATCACATCTCACAAAAGATAAGCTGAAGCCCGCATCTTAGAAGCCAATCCTAGATGAAGACCGCATCTTGCAAAAGATAAGATAAAGACTGCATCTTAGAAGTCACATCCTGGATGAAGACCACATCTCAAGAAGAAGAAAAGATGAAGATTGCATCTTAGAAGTCACATCCTAAATGAAGATGACATTTCAAGAAGAAGAAGAGATGAAGACCACATCTCGCAAAGGATAAGATGAAGACCTCATCTCAAGAAGAAGAAGAGATGAAGACTACATCTCGGAAAGGATAAGATGAAGATCATATCTTAAAACTCACATCCTAGATAAAGACCACATCTCGCAAAAGATAAGATGAAGACTGCATCTTAGAAGCCACATCGTAGATAAAGATCACATCTAAGGAAGAAGAGGAGATGATGACTGTATCTTGCAAAAGATAAGATGAAGACTACAGCTTTCACTTATACATTGTTTTCAAAGCTTAAAATTGGGTTATTCTTTTATTCTTTACTTTTCTTTTTACAAAAAGAAAAGTGAAGATGAGGCAACTGTCATAACCCAATTTTAATTGGGGCCAAATGATAAAAGTAAAAGTCAATGGACTATTCTTATAAAAGCACGAAACTTAAAGGGCTAAGGGGAAGAATTCACAAGATGACGTCGTTTTGCTTTTAAGTAAAAATAAAAACTGAAAACCCTAGCCACCCAAACCCATTGCTTTCTTTACTCTACCGCTAGCCCTTCTCAAGTTTTGAAGAAATTTTTGGAGATTGAAAGTCATCAATAAGAGGCACAAAAGAAGAGTTCGAAATTGATTCAAAAAGGGGAGTTCTAAGCATAAAAGGTATGAATCTAGACTTGGAAAAGGGATACATGTGGGAAAAACTAAGAATTCTCATTCCACATAGGATTGGGTTGTTATACATTAGGATTGGGATTTTCCCTTTGTCTATAAAAAGGGAGCCTTTGGCTTTAGGGGGTGTTTACACCATAAATTGCAAAATTTTAAATTAATGTCACGTGTAAAATATTTTTTATTGGTTGGATGAGTTTGAGCCATGTCAGATTCGGATTCTAGGCCCCAAGACAAATCAGCAGTTGTGTTGGCAAAATAGGAGAGGTAAAGACAATTTTTTTATGGAGTAATTATCTTCTTGATACATAAAGGGATAATGGGAGCTAGAAAATAGGAGAACATCACAGTTAAAAAGGGGGTTTTATCTTATAAGAGTACAGGTGGTGAAATCTGAAAGGGGATTAGACTAGGTCAAAGGGTGAGGTGTCCCACTACTTCAAAAAACTACCCATGATTGAGTAACTGCAGAAAGTGAAAGGTACTGCTAGCACAAGAACAAAAAGGAAATTTTGGAAGGAAGAACACGCGGCCAGCCCTACTCAAATATCTGCAAATTTTTAGATTTTATTTTCTTTACAATCTGCTTCCAGATTTCGAATTTTAGCACAGATTCCATTAGAATTAGGTTGTTCTTCATCATTTCAGTAGACAATTTAATTTATGTACTTGCTACATCAGTTCTCTTCATACAATGAATTTCAACATTTCAAGTTCCTTCCAGGTACTGTTCATTTTTTATTTGTAATTAATTTAGTGTTTATTTTAAGTAGCATTGCTTCAATGATTACTTGTGTGGCTTTCATGCTTCTTTCCAACTTCAATTTCTTCAATTTATTCACTGTTCACGTTTTATTTTAGTGCTAATTAGGGTTAAATTTACAATTCTGCAGCAATTTAACTTCCAAATTTGTCAATAGATAGCATTTTAATTTTACCATAAGCATGCCTAATTTAATTTGGGTACATTTATTTCTTGCAAACATAGTTTAAATTGCAGGTAATTTAGAATAATTATGATTTGTTAATTTTAAGTCACGGTAGTGTTTTAAGTCCTTGGAGTTGTTCAAGGCAGATTTCGTAACCCATTCTGTAGGAAGGTATCCCTCCCTCTTGCAAATCGTCTAAAGGCGCAAATTTCACTTTAATCCAACGTTCTTCCCACCATCTACAAAGAGGTCGACCGTGAGGAAGGAGAGGGTCATTAGGAAACTCCTTCTTTCTTACTTTCAGCAAAGTAAGTAGCACGCCCGCATGCGAGGCCACTAGAGGATTTTTTAGGAACAATCCTTTTTTGGCACGCCCGGTGGGACCTCATCGTGTCTTACTTACAATTTTCAAATCCGTTGTTCTTTTTTCCAAGAAAAAGTGCAACCATGCCACCAAAAAGAAACCTTGGGAAGGCTATCCAGACGTTACAGATTGGGCTTGGTGAAGGCAGTCTAGCACACTCAGAAGGAGAGAATGAGCCAATCATTCCACCACCATTGTCACCAATACTTGGGGAGCATTCTTTTGTCAATCCTACCTTTAACAAGGATAGTGAATCTGGAGATGATGTTGCTCAATCTGGTGACTCCCTTGTGAAAGCTGTGTCAAATCAGATTAACATCATGAGGCACACACTGTTGGAATCTGAGGAGAAAGCTCGACAAAGAAGCCAAGAGGTTGCTAGACAGTTGGATGAGTCTTTTCAAAATTTGGCTCAAAATTTGGCCCAAAGTGTAGCCCAAAGTGTAGCCAACATACGGCAATCCAATGAAGAAAGTGCCAGAATCTGGCGCGAGCAAAATGCAGAAAATTGGAGAGCTTTCCAAGCTAAAATAGAACAAATGCAGGAGGCATTTCGACGTGTCAAAATTGAGCCTCAGCCACAAGCAACAGATCTTCAAAGGCAGAATCAGAATATTCCAGCTCCAACACTTGGGGGGCAAGTTAATCTGCCACAGCCACCTCCCCAAATTTAGTAGGTAGCAAGTGGACCAGTGTAGCCAGATCCTATTAAGGCAGCACCACGTGCAGTAGAACTGGGAAATCACCAACATCTCAGATATCTGCCACCTCCACGCCGACCAAATGGAGGACATCAACAACATAATGCACCTCCACAAAGGGAGCGTTTCCAGCCTTATGTGCCACCTGTGCAGCAAAATCTTCAAAATCTACCAAGACAGGAACACCGACATGGTGTAGGAGGCTTATGGTCCAGTTTTGAGGCCTCTAGTCAGACCAGCTTACAGAAAACCATATCTAGATTTCATAGACCAAGAAAATCCTTTTCCAAGGGGGGTTTAAGGTTCCAGAATTCACTCTATTTTCTAGAGATGGTGGATATTCTACAATTGAACACATAGGGTGCTTCACAATTCAGTGTGGTGAGGCTTCCGGTGATGATAATTTGAAACTTAGACTTTTTCCTAGCCCTTTAACTAGTATAGCTCTCACTTGGTATCTGAGTCTGCCACAGAATTCAATTCATACTTGGAGGCAGATGGAAGATCTTTTTCACATCCAGTTCTACCGCAGTGAACTAGAAGTGTCCATGGCAGATTTATCTCGTCTGGTGTAGCGACCTGGAGAAACATCTGAGGCCTTTCTTGCTAGATTTCAGAAGGCCAGACTTAAGTGCAGAGTTGCCCTGCCAGAACAAGAATTTGTCAAGCTAGCACAAAATGGTCTGGACATTGAATTGAGGAAAAAGTTTGAGGGAATGGAGTTTCGTAATTTCTTTGAGTTGTCTTACAAGGTGGCTCGTTATGAAAATTTATTGCAAGAGGACACACAAAGGAAATCTGCATCTCATAGGACTTATTATGGTGATGATAACTTTGATCTGGACGTGGCAGAAGTGGTGGCAGACAAACTAGTTGTTTGTCCAGATTTGGTTAAAGTGGCCCAGCAGACCGACAGAACAGTAAAACGTTATGTTGGAGAGGCTGGAAAACAATACACATTTGACATTTCAAAGACTAATGAAATCTTTGACCACCTTAAAAAGAGTGGTCTAATTAAGTTGCCACCGGGACATAAAATCCCAATGGCTAGTGAAATTGGAAATAGAGAATATTGCAAATATCACAATTCTTGGAAACATTCCACTAATGATTGTGTGATTTTTTGGAATGTTTAGGGAATTCTGCATTTTCCAGATAAGGCTAAAGAAACTATGGGAGTTGATGCAGATCCATTCCCTACCATGTCTGTTGGGGTGAACGCGACAAATCTCAGGAGCATTGCCAGGGACAGAACTCAGACATACTATAGGCGCAGACTTGCAGCTGATGATCTGAGGTGGGTCATTGAAGAGGCTAGGGCCCGCAGAAATCAGGTCAGATCAGGCTCATACTGAAGAAGATAGCCCAGGGGGCACAACTCAACTCAACAGAAAAATAATGTAAATCAGGGAACTGCGATATCTGGACGCGCAGAAAAGCCCAGAATGGTGAAACCACCACCCAAATCTCCAACCAAATGGTGGGAACGTGTGGTGCATCCAAAATTTCCTAAGGGTCAAAACCCAAGGACCTTGATGAGGCGTTTACAACGCAAGAGGGCTGCAGAAAGACACCGACAACAGATTACAAACTCAGGGGGCATGGCAGATTAGGCCCAACCGCTCCCAACAAGAAGAAAATTAGTGTGGGTTTGTAAAGAAAAAGGGAGCACATCTGGTCAAAATTCTCCAGAAAAGGAAGAACCACCCAGAAGTCCAACATCACCTCGAGTTTTGGCTGTGGAATCCAATGAAGAAACTTGTTTGAAGGCGAAGTTTGACGTGTCAGATAAAGCGGAAAAGTCATCAGATGTAATCTGTTTTGGTGAGTTCTCCGTGAATCTATCTTGCTTGGTGATCACTCTTCCTTTGGTCTTTCAAGCAAGAGAGCAGTCAGAATCTGAAGTCTGTCACCAGACAGATTTGACTGAGGAAGAAGAAGTCATCGAGATCCCAGCTAAGGAAGATGGTGCTGTGGATTCAACAGATAAAATCATTTTTGAAAAACCAGAAGAGATGATGGCCAGACATATCAGGCCATTATACATTCATGCACATCTGGATGGTATGCCAATAAATCGAGTTCTGGTTGATAATGAAGCAACTGTCAATGTTTTGCCAACTTGTATTCTGCACAAAATTGGCAAATCTTTGGGTGATTTAATGGAGACAGAAGTGACAATCAGTGACTTTACTGGTGGAGTAAATCGCTCAAGGGGAATTCTGCCAGTAGAACTTACTGTTGGAAATAGGACTCTCATGTGTGCATTCTTTGTGGTTAACGCCATTGCCACTTATAATGCATTGTTTGGGAGAGATTGGATACATTCCAGCTGGTGTGTTCCTTCAACTCTGCATCAAAAATTGATATTCTGGAATGGTGGCAGAACTGAAGTCGTGACACCAGATGACAAATCGTTTGTGGCAAATACCAATGCAGTGGAAGCTCGTTATTATGATGAAGATATTGGGACTATCCATTTCTTTGGGATGGACCGCTATGGCAGACCTTCTGGAATTACTGCTAGCACCAAATCTGCAATGGACAGAGAAACTGTGAAAGAGGTGTGTGATGAACTACTTTGGCCTATAGCAATTGTTCCTTTTAGGCTGAGGAAGGAACCTAAAATCGAAGAAATTCCATGAAGAAAGACCGAATTAAGCACCAAAAAAAAGAGGCCGTGGAAGAAATAAAGAGAAAATTAGCAGCTTACCTTACTGAAAAACGAATATGTGTAGACAGATCTGAAGTAGTCTATGAAGGTGAAGAGGAAGATTTGAAGGATCAGATAACACTAAAGGAATTAGATCTCGCACTAGCAAAGCTTGATGATCTGAAGGTAGAAGTACAAGATCCCCTGGAGGAGGTAAATTTGGGTACTAAGGCAGATCCGAAAATTACTTTTATTAGCGGTTCTCTTGAGCCGTGTTTGCATGATAAAATTATCAATATTTTGCATGAATACAAGGACTATTTTGCTTGGGACTATTCTGAAATGCCAGGTCTGGACAGAAATCTTGTAGAGCACAGATTACCAATTAGACCAGATTTCAAGCCTTTTAAACAGCCGCCTAGACGAATGTCTACAGAAGTCACCTTAAAAGTAAAAGAAGAGATAGGGCGGCTGTTGAAGGTTGGTTTCATCAGAACTTCTAGATATGTGGAATGGTTATCTAATGTGGTTCCCGTGGTTAAAAAGAATGGCAAGTTGAGAATCTGTGTAGACTTCAGAAATCTGAATCTGGCAACACCAAAAGATGAATATCCTATGCCTATTGCAGATTTATTGGTGGATGGTGCAGCACGCCACCGAATTCTGTCATTCATGGATGGGCACAGTGGGTATAACCAGATTTTGATAGCAGAAGAAGACATTCCAAAGACTGCTTTGCACTGCCCATGAGCTATTGGTACATATGAATGGTAGTAATGCCATTTGGTTTAAAAAATGCGGGTGCAACTTATCAAAGAGCCATGAACGCCATCTTTCATGATATGATTGGTCGTTTTATGGAAATTTATATTGATGATGTGGTTGTGAAATCTAATGAAGATGAAGAGCATCTGGAGCGTTTAAAGCTGGCTTTTGAAAGAATGAGAAAGCATGGTCTGAAGATGAATCCTTTAAAATGTGCATTTGGCATTTCTATTGGAAATTTTCTAGGATATCTGGTGCATGAGCGAGGTCTAGAAGTGGATCAGAACAAGGCAAGAGCTGTTATTGAAGTACAGCTGCCAAGAAGTGAGAAGGAGTTACAAAGATTCCTTGGACAAGTAAATTTTCTGAGACATTTTATTTCAAATCTGGCAGGAAAGACAAGAGTTTTTTCGCCACTGTTGAAGCTGAAATCAGAAGCAGATTTCAAATGGGAGAGACACCATCAAACCGCCTTTGAGGAAATAAAGCATTATTTATCAAAGCTGCCGGTCTTAGTGCCTCCTTTAAGAGGCAAACCTTTGATTTTGTACATATTTGCCGCAGATGAATCTGTAGGTTGTCTGCTGGCTCAAGAAAATAGTAAAAAGCAAGAACAAGCTGTTTATTGTTTGAGTCGAAGTCTGTCACAGACCGAAGTGAAATATTCTTTGGTCGAAAAATTATGTCTTGCTTTGTTTTTTGCTGCAATAAAATTGAGGCATTATTTGCTTTATTCCGAGGTTTATGTTATTTCAAAAACTGATGTGATAAAGTACATGTTGTCTCGACCACTGTTGCGAGGTAGAATTGGGAAATGGGTTCTGGCTTTGTCAGAATTCAACCTGAAGTACATGCCTCAAAAAGCTGTCAAGGGGCAGGCTTTGGCAGATTTCTTAGCAGATCATTCGTGCCTGGAGGTAGAAGCGGATGAGAAAAAAGGTATTAATTTATTTTCCATAAATCTGGTTCCTTGGAAGCTTATCTTTGATGGATCTAGCACAGATTCCATGTCTGGAGCAAGAATTGTTATTATTTCTCCAGCTGGTTTGAAAACCCAGATGTCGTTTTAGCTAGATTTCAATTGCACCAACAACCAAGCTGAGTATGAGGCGTTAATTATTGGGTTGGAAGTGTTGGTGGAGCTCAAGGTACTTGTGGTAGAAATAATTGGTGACTCACAATTAATTTTAAAGCAATTAGAAGATGAGTACAAGTGCACTAGTTTGTCTTTGGCACCTTATTTTGCTCTGGCAGTACAACTCTTGGAGGAATTTGATGATGTAATCTTGAGGCATGTTACTCGAGATCTGAACACAGAGGCAAATGAGATGGCACAAATCGCCTCAGGCTTAAAAATCTAGAAGGCGTGATGAGCAGAATTGTTGTTGTGGAAAAACGAATTCTGCCATCTATTCACATGCGTGGTATGGCAATTTCTGCTTGTTCTATAGATGTAACCCAGACAGATTGGAGATATCTGATCATGGAGTACCTCAAAAATCCAAATTTGAAGGCCTCAAGAAGAACAAAAATGCAGGCCTTGAATTATGTTCTGTTGGAAGGTGTTCTTTATAGAAGAGGACATGATGAATTACTTCTGCATTGTCTTGGTCCAGATGAGTACTGCCAGATTATGTTAGATGTGCATAATGGAATATGTGGTGCACACCAAGCTGGAATTAAGATGAGATGGCTAATTTGTAGACATGGATTCTTTTGGCCATCGATCTTGAAAGATTGCATTAGTTATGCTAAAGGTTGCAAAGCCTGCCAGATTCATGGACCACTGCAAAAAGTTCCAGTGTCAGAACTCCACCCAATCGTCAAACCGTGGCCATTTCGAGGATGGGCCATAGATTTGATTGGTAAAGTTTATCCTCCTTTAACTAGAGGGCATTCATTTATTATTGTTGCCACGGATTACTTTACCAAGTGGGTGGAAGCAAAGCCAATGAAGAAGGTTGATCAGACCGATATTATTAAATTTCTTAAGGAAGAAATCATTCACAAATTCGGTTTGCTAGAAATAGTGACTTCGGATCAGGGGATAATTTTTGTTGGTGCACAAGTTGAAGCGTTTGCAAACGAAATGGGATTTTGGTTACTCACTTCAACCCCTCATTATGCTCAAGCCAATGGTCAAGCTGAAGCTTCCAACATAATTGTGATAAATCTGCTGGAAAAAATGGTTGATGATAATCCAAGGTGTTGGCATGAGCTGTTATCTGACACAATTTGGGCTTACAGGACTTCACAAAGGAGTTCTACCAAGGTAACTCTATTCTCTTTAACTTATGGACATGATGCTGTTCTGCCCATGGAGTTGTCTGCTAGATCATTGCGTATAGCAATTCAACATGGTCTCACTTCTGGAGAATATAATGAAGCAATGATTCTAGAGTTAAAAGACCTTGAAGGTATGCGATTGACGGCCTTAGATAGGCTGCAAACGCAGAAATTAAAAGTAGCTCGAGCTTACAACAAATGGGTGAAATCCAGAAGTCTGGCAGTAGGAGATCTGGTATGGAAAGTAATTCTGCCACCTGGAAAGAAAGATCCCAAATTTGGGAAATGGTCTCCAAATTGGGAAGGACCATTTCGTATACATGAAGTACTTAGAGGAGGAGCATATTGGCTTGAATCATTAAATGGAGAGTTACATCCTCAAAAAATAAATGGAATCTACCTTAAGCCTTACTATCTTATGATATGGGAGGCTAGAGGTTTGGATACCATTGATTCTACCTGAGACAGATTTGAGAGACAGATTTGAGGTAGGATTTGTACAGTATTTTATTTCATTGTTTTAAGCATTTTATCATTCAATAAAAAGTGCTGAGCCGAATTTGTAAGTAGGCCAAATCTGGCTATGAACAACCACAGCGGCCAGATTTCAGCCATGACAGATTTCAATCTGTAATAAAATATGAACAGAAAGTACAAGCAGATTCCAGAATATGAGCCAAGAAAGAGATCAACATTGAAAAAGAAGTTTGCATGGCCAATAGGCTGCAAACAATAAGTTCAAACATGATAATGTGCAATTTCAACCAACAAAGAGACAAGGAGATACATAGAAGAAAAATCAACAAAGGTTGTTTTGCCAAGTACTCCATTCTTTTCTCATGTTCTTGATTTCTTCAGCAACTTCATCGGCAGAGGCTGTGAAAGAAGGCAGCTGATCCTTGATCTTAGTAGTAGATTTCAAACCAGCTTCCATGTCCATGCGGAGCTTGTTTCTTTGTTCTGCCAAACTCTTTTCAGTTTGCTCTGCAAGAGGAACCTGGTTTCTTAACTCTGAAAGCTTGGCTTCAAGGTTAGAGATTTCTTCTTTAAGCTCTTGGAGATGTTTAACTTGTGTGACATGAGCCTCCTTTGCTGCCAAGAATTCTTCCTTCTTCTTAAA